ATGTATATACAGACAATGATTTTGAGAACATTAATGGCATTAACATCATGAATTTATATATTTAGCGATTGTTATAATAGGCCTCCTGTATTTAAATGGGTTGTAAAACGTATTTTACGACCCAAGGATCGTTTTCAAGTCAATATATAAATAATATTACACTTTAATAAATTAATTAAAATGATTTAACTTAGCCTACTTTTAAAGAGTACTTAGATTTACATCTTGAATGTAGGTTGCAAAAGCATGTGCCTACGAACACATCTTTAGCTCTGTTTTTTTACTGTTGTTTACATTTTCACTCAGATATTCCGGTTTAATGCCATTGTATGAAATTACTCAAAACAATTTTAGAGCACAGTCTCCAGTGTGAAAACGTAGGCCTGAACAACAACACAGCAATGGATACCGCAATTAAATCTAACACTATGAAGACATATAGGCTTGTACAACTACAGTATGGTACACTCTCTACTTACCTATATGTATATTTTCTTACTTAGAAGAAACACCATTCCAAAATTCAATATTTCAGAAGATGTTTTTGCGACAGTAGTTCACATACACGCGTGCTTCAACCGTAATTTGGATATTATGAGACAGGTGCACATCAACCAAGTATCTGAAGGAAAATTGCTGCCAAGGACAGTAGTTCCCTACCAGCCTAACCTACAAATTATTAGTTCAGCGCTCACCCCTTATTAGCGTCCACCCTCGAATTGGTCTAGTACTGGGGCCGAAACGGTATCCGACCAGTAAAAATCCAGTTTGCCGAAAACCTATGATTGCCGAATTAATGGCCTCTTGCCTAAACCCAGTTTGCCGAATCCAGTTCACCGAAATAATGACAACCCAGTTTGCCGAATCATTTGCCGTCATCTACGTACAAAAGTACAGCATACTGTGCTTTTGAAAACGTGATGGGTGGATCAGGGAGCCATATTTACATTCCCCTATTTGTATCCGTGTAAACGCTCCGCTTTGAATAAACTCCCCTTCTAGAGCCTCATTTCAAAACACCCCGTGCCGTAAATTTTTTCCTCGAATAAACTCCCCCTTGACTGTAAACAGATCTAATGGAAACATTATTCCCAACACTTTCTACTAATGTTTTACTGCAATAGAATTACATTTTAATTACAGTGGAATTATGGGGCGATTGAGTATATAGGCCTAAAAAGTACGTATCCATTTTACACACAAAAAAAAAATAAATGCCTGCCTCGAATAAACACCTCCAGTGAATAAACTTACCCTCAAAAACCATTCTCAACAATTAACGCCTCAGGGCGTTTATTCGACGAAATCGCCCGGGACCAAAACTGATAATTAATTTTCTTTTCTTCTTTGAGAGTGGAAAAGAACAATTTCCAATTATGAATGAATAAATAGATATTTTTGTCCATGTCCTTACTTCCCGCTGGCTCCACCAGTTCGTACAGACGCGGTAAAAGAGTGCTCCATCACGAATGTGTTGTTTCACTGCTTTTGACTGACTTTCGGCAAACTGGGTTTCGGCAAAATGGGATTTCGGCAAAGTGGACTAGGCAATCTGTGATTCGGCAAACTGGATTTCGACAATATGGCGTAGATCCGAAGAAACCTCACCACCAGGCCCTCCCACAGCCCAAATCGGACTTAATGCTCAGTGACGGCGCCATAGGCTTCCAGATATGAAGATCAATTTCTCGACAATCCATGCCAGGAAATTTCACCCTGAGTCTGTAAAAGTATAGTGTTCGCTAGGAAAACACTGATGTTTTCCGACTTCAAATATAAAACCTTTTTTTCAGGAAGTGCCCATGGCATTTTCTTCTTCCTGATTTGAGTAGACATACATTAGGCCTACATTATATAATACACAAAGGAAAACAATGGAAAGTTCACTCATAAATACTGGGACGGTGTCCGGAATGGGTAGTTTTTACCATGTAGTTTAGTCACTTTTGAATGTATAATTATTATTTTATAAATAAATTAGAAATACCGGGGTGACTTGTGAGGGGATAATTTTACCTGCGTTTACTGTATCTAATATGTATCTAATATAGGCCTATTGTTTACAGTTTACTACTACATTTTCCACTCTGAGCCGATCCTTACAATGCTATTTCAATGCAAATATCAGGGGCGGATCCAGAGATGTCCAAAAGGGGGGGCCGAAAGGGGGGCCGAAATTTGGGCCGATCGAGACAACAATGTCCTAGGGGGTCCGGGGGCATGCCCCCGCGAAATTTTTGTGTTCTAGACGCCCGAAAATAACATTTGAGGCGTTGTGGGCTATCATTTTTTTCTTTTTCTTTCTTTTTTCCTTTTTTTTTCTCTTTTCTTTACCTTCCGAAAGGGGGGCCGGGGCCGGGCCGCCCCCCCCCCTAAATCCGCCCCTGAATATTATGTTTGCAAATGGCTATAAAAGGATACAAAACAACAGCTCTACCTCCTATACTACCGAGGAGATAATGAACCATTCCGCTAAGCCCCAACATATTGTGCCAATAAAAAATAACAACAAACCTAGATTTCAAACAAATGACAGTTGATTTTCGTGTAATTTTTAAATTTTAAATAAATATTATGTACCCAATGTTGTCTTCAAATCGGATTAAAATCTGGCCGAATTTTGGCCGATATCGAAAAAAAAGTTTGGCCAAATTTGGTTGTGAGATGGCGTGTGTTTGGCCTTGATCTGTATATAGGAACTCTACTTGAAGCTTGTCGACTACACTCTGGCAACCCTGGTCACACGATCTACAGTAATTTGACGTACACACGCATGCGTAAAAGGCACCCGATTATTCCACCAAAAGGGACATCCCCGCCCATTGCATGTGGCAGGTCGACGAGATACAATAGATTGTACTTGGTCCGGAGTTGTGAGTGTAGCATTTATATCATTAATCAGAAACTATCAATTGTAATTAAACAATTTTCATTTTCAAATGTAAATAATAAAAATAGGCCCTATTTAAACCTAGTCCTAGCCTATACTTTTTTGTAGACCGAGACCTAGGCCTAGGCTTAGCTAGGGCTAGGCCTAGTTATGTCTGTAGACCAGAGAGTTGAGTAGGCTAGCTCGGTCCGTTACTCAAGGACACAAGTGAAATGCACAGTGAAGGATTGAAACCGATTTCGAGGTTGGGAAACCAAACCATTTCCACTATTCTATTCTAAGTTCTGGTGCTCATCATCGCCTGTTTGGCATCTGCAAGAGTGTGTGCTTCTGTCAACAGTGCATCACCAAGTGCTCATTTTAGTCATTTTTAGCACCAAACCTCAAAAGTATGCATTCACAGGACTAATTATTATGATTATAAAAATCAATAATCTGTTTCATTACAAATGTACAAGCGTCGGTAGAATGAGCCGTTTTAAAAGCAAATTAATTATCATAGAACAAAGATATTCACCTGCGAAATCAATATGTAACCTTTAAAAAGTATGGGCTAATGCTATATGATATAAATTATATTTGAGAAGCGTATTTCCTGATTTAGGCACAATAGTCACATCGGCAGCTTTCTCAGGCATATTATATGATTACATATTAAGTTAGAACCCGGAATCTGTAAAGTTAATAATTATGTAGGGTTCTACCAATGAAAGTTTTACTACTTTATATCATTCTGAAGTAATAATGCAATGTGGATCAAAATATTATTAAACTTTACTAAAACCACCTTCCTTTATCAAGAATCAAGAATACTTTATTTTCATCAAACAAATAAGGGAACAATGAAATTTGTTTTGCTGGTTGAATCGAAACATGGCAAGAAGTATGCATAATAAATGTAAACCAGGTGAAGTTTTTTAAAGATTTGCCAAGTAGCATTTAAAATTCATTGTTTATATAATTCCAGGGTTCAAAATGGCAGATGTTGAGAAGAAGTTAAAAGATACCAAGACTATCCTTGTTACTGGAGGCACTGGATTGGTTGGCATGGCAATCAAAGAAATGGCTGATCTTGATAAACGTCCGGATGAAAACTGGGTCTTTGTATCCTCAAAGGATGCTGATCTCACGTACGTAGAATACATTTTCTCAATGGAATTTCAAAGGTTTATTAAATTAAATTGTTGATAAGTTTGTAGCAACTCTTATAACAGCCTTAGTAATTATAAGAATGATTAACTGTGTTGTTTTAGTGTACTTTTTCCATAGAGCTATTAAACAACTAGAGTGCTGACAAGATGGCGAAGCAATGCAGAGTTATGTATGTGTACCATCCAAGATGGCTGCCATAGGAAAGCGCCACCTTCAGGCTTACTATACATATTATTAGCATAAATAAGCCCTCTGACTGACTATTATTTCATTATTGATAATTAGTATTGATAATAACAAATTATTAAACTATCGTAGCCAAAAAGAGGCCAAGTAGAGCATCTTATTAAAAAATAATACAAAATTAAAATCGTGTACATTACACCCATACACCGCAACGCTCGAGTTTCAAACATACGGATAACTAGCTGTACTGAACTTTCTGTGTAAATTGAGGGCGCCATTGAAAATGATAGTGCTTAGGCGAAATTTGATTGGCTGAATCTATGGCAGCCATCTTGGATGGTACACACACACACAGCTCTGCGTATTTCGAACATCAAATACATTGCTGTTAGTGCTCTAGTATTCTTATTATATCTCAATGACTTTTTCTAAATTTCATGGTAGGTCTGGACCCTCCACCCTTACAAGCCCCTTTCCCTTCCTCCTTTTCAAATTCCTGAATCCAGCTACTGCATATGACAAGAAATTATATCTGAAATTGAGTCTAAATGTTGGTGGTGGTAATGGTGGTGATTATAGTGTCACTGGTAGTAATGGTAGAACAATTTTTAATGGCATTTTAAATGATGACAGTGCATGTAAAAATGACCTGTGAAAAAAATAGGTTATTTACGGTGGTAGAATTGATCCTGATGGTAGGGTTAGAGGTGATGATGTTGGTATGCTGACAAGGCCAATAAAACAATATTATCCAAGCCTGTCTGATGCAAAATGCATGGGTGTATGAATGTCCATCATGAACGCTATTAGGCCTTGAGTAGAAATAATATTTCCAACAGACCTTTGATTTGTAAATTTTTTTGCTTGAGCAAAACAAACATATTGGCCTAATGATAATCTGCTTGTTTTTCCTGCAGCTCTGAGGCAGAAACGTCTGCTCTGTTTGAAAAGTACAAGCCGACTCACGTTATCCACCTTGCCGCCATGGTTGGAGGATTGTTCCGCAACCTGAAGTACAATTTAGACTTCTGGGTAAGTTGAAACCAAAATGCTACATTGCATATTTTTGTTCACCTAATTGTTATTTTTAATGATACAGTAATTGAAGGTTTTAACCCAATCAAATACAAGAAAATTAAATATTGAATAAAAATAAAATTGTTTATTTCAACACAGATACTTTGGTATTTAAATATACTTACTGTACTTTATGAAAATAATTGTTATAATCTATGTTAACAGAGATCTGTTGCTTGGTACTTCAGTCACATATTTAATGAGGTAAAGGTAAGTGTATGGTATTAGTAAGGTATACAATTAAAACAATTTCTTTCTTTTACTAGAGGATAAATATCAAGATAAATGACAATGTTCTACACAATGCTTATAAACATAATGTAAGCAAGGTAGTGTCATGTCTATCGACATGCATATTCCCGGATAAGACAACCTACCCTATCGACGAGACGATGATCCATAACGGACCACCGCATGATTCAAACTTCGGCTATGCGTTTGCCAAACGAATGATTGATGTACAAAACAAGTTAGTTTGTATAATAAAAGTTAATATTTTTATCAAACGGTTTTTTTTACTAATGCAATTAATTTAAGATGATGCTGATGATTTGGAAATCTTAATGCTCTATAATCAAATTTGATGAAATGTATTCATATTATTTCTAAAATTTAATTTAATATATTATTTAATTAAATTAAAAGTTGTTGATTTCCTCTATTTTATTTTAATTTCCTCATTTTTCTTTCCAGAGCTTATCATTCGCAGCATGGCTGCACGTTTACCTCAGTCATTCCTACCAATGTCTTTGGTCCATATGACAACTTTAATTTGCAAGACGGTCATGTGATTCCCGGACTAATTCATAAAATATATCGAGCGAAAGGCAGGTTCATGCGTTTTCATATTTTATTTAATTCTCATTTATTTTTAGATTTAAGTTTCTTTTTTAATACATAATGTTTTTGAATATATTCAAATCAACTTTATTGTTCAAAATCATATATATATGCACACACACATATATATATTTATATTATATTATTATTATACTAAAACCACCACCTTTTAGCAGTATATTATACATATTTTTTATTCCCTTTGTAATCATTATATGTATATTTTTATATAGAGGATGATACAGAGTTTACTATATGGGGTACAGGGTCACCTCGTCGACAGTTCATTTACTCCAAAGATCTAGCTCGTTTATTCATTTGGGTTCTTCGTGAGTATGATGATATCAGTCCCATAATCTTGTCTGTTGGCGAAGAGGATGAAGTATCGATTAAAGAAGTTGCTGACATGATCATTGAGGCCTGTGAGTTCAGGGGCAAAGTAATCGTATCCTTTATTTAAGTTTTACATTTCAAGTTTATGGATGATGAAGTTTGGGCGTTGATTGCAAGTACAGAAGCAGTGCAACCAGCTGACCTGCCATTTTTCAATTGTTTACAGTGTTGCCATGTGACTTCACAGTACATTTATTAAGTATTTAATTTTTTTTCTTAACAAAGTTTGATTACAGCTGGACACAAGTAAATCCGACGGTCAATTCAAGAAGACAGCAAGCAATGCCAAACTGAAAAACCTTCAACCAGACTTCAAATTCACACCTATTGAACAAGGTATGCATAATTCAAGTAACCTTTCCTTCCTATCCTGTTTATAACATTATTTCTATGGTATTGTTATTACCAGTAGTGTCAATAGTGGATGGGCCAGACCACTAGGGTGAAAGAAGAGACTGCTGAAAACTTAATTCATTTTGGACTACTGTATATAATTGTGTAAATCTGAAGACCTTATAGTACTCAACTTGTTACCCGCCGTAAAGTTTCATCCAAACTAGTGATCCGTGTGTCTTATTAAAATACCCAATTATTCATCGACAATAATGCAAATGATGAGAGCAGTTTCACTACTGATGAACTTATGATAATCAAAGATGATGACAATATTGATGTTTATAAACGAATAAGCTTTATATTGTGACTAAGGAAAAATGAAGAATTGCCAACTATATGTGATTTGATATATAATTTACTTGACTGATATGGTGATTATATGATCACTTTGTTTAAAAATGATATGAAACTAATTTATTTTTTTTTGCATGAAATAAAAACACTGGTTGCACTTTATAGACTAACTTCAAAGTGCTACAGTGTTTATACTATATACATCTTTTTTCTTGCAGCAATTAAGGAGACAGTAACTTGGTTCATGGAAAATTATGAGACAGCGAGGAAGTAGAATTTGGCAGCAGATATGCACACATGGATGTATCTTGAAGTAAATTACACTGCGCATAACAGAACTACCAATTATAACTACCAGTGAACACAGAATGTATAGTGCAACTCGTTTGGCACCAAACAAGACAAGATATGGCCTGCTCTTGTGAAGGCCACAGGAGCACAACCCTGTGCCACTTGACCCAGAGAGAGAACAAGCATAGAAGTAACTTGACAGCACCTTCTGCTGATATGGTAGTTGCACACATTAACTTGTCACTAGCTGTCAGTGGATATATTTATTACAAGACGTAAATTATGCTATGCACAACAGAACTTCAAATTACATTATAGAAAGCTTGGGGTGTTTACATTTTGGTTAATACATTAGATGAGGACTGTACTCTGGTGCTGGTGGTTGGTTGGTTCCAAATAGAACAAGACATATTTATAATTATGAATACAATTGGTTTGGCGGGCATCTTCTCGTGACAGGTAGGATAGGTCTTGGCAAAAATCAGTGCAACCTCTTGGTTTATACATACCATACCTCCATGGGCATACAAAACTTGAATTATTTCAACACATTCCAGTAATATGAATCTATTTTAGTATATTTATTAAGATTTAACTTTCTAGTCATGGTATCAAGGTAACTATTTAATATTTAAGTCAGTTTACATGACTGCAAGTTGGAAATACTTTTTCTGTACTTGTGTTTATTTATTTAAAGGTGTTAATGATATTCTGATTTTTAATAATATATATAATTGTAACATGTTTCAGATTTTTTCCTCATGAAAGAAAGCAGAATTTAGAATTTTGATGTGTATTACCATTATTATAGCAAAACCAGGCTTACTCACTAAATGCAGATGTGTTTAAAACAGAGAAATTACACATATAAAGATAGTAACATCAAAGTCATACCTTTCATTTATTTGCAACACATTATTTATATTCATTACAGCAAATTATATTGAATAGTGATTTAATTTGTCAATTCATGTGAATCTGAATAAAGAGAGTTTTGCATCCAGTGCACACATAAGTCGGCTGTTTGTAGTTTGATGTTCCCGCCGTCGGACAGACCTGGATCCCCCGTAAAATAACATTATTGTGATTGCCAATCCCTAATATTGTGGTCTAAAAGTACAATTTGGACCATACGAAGACATAAAAACTTTTTTATTCTGGGACTCGGACCGAGGCTCTAGCCAACCCCTTGGTTCTGAACTCTGTCGGACATGTCAGACCTTCTCAGCAATTTCTTGGGCCACCGCTGCATGCACCCCCTGTCATTTTTTCAGTTACCTATGTAATCCAACATCAAGGACCTGTTCTTGTACAGCATCCCAAGCACTCTGGCAGTTGGTGTAGGAGACTGGGATTGTAGATTGGAATGTTGCGATTGTATAAGCAAATTCATGGTTTGAATTGCGCATGCACGTGTCCCGTGGCATCTAAGGTCAATCGACATAAGCCTATGTTGTGTATGGTGTTTAAGTCAACTGATACGAGCATGCACAGTTCTAACTACGAATTGGCTTATTGTGAGGGAAGAACAAGTCAAAGCTGAACTATTCTAAGTAATAAAAATAAATAATAATAATGAAAATGATAATTAGTAATTGACAACTTTGATTTGATTTGATTTATTAGGTATTACTTGACATAACAATACAAGAGAAAAAAAAACAAAAGAGCACCAGGATTACCAATTAAGCCGACGATAGTCATGCCCATTTTCAATGGGGTCCTTATAAAACCAATACAATAAGACACAAAAAAGACACAGATTTTCAAAATTACAAAAT